AAATTGCTCCACCAAATTCATAATGAAATATAGGTGCTCCATCAAAATATAAGAACAACAAAAGCAGTACAGTACATCTGCATGCACACTGCTCAACATATGGGTTTTGGTTCACAATTAAACTAAAGCCACCCCACAACAAAACATCCTTGAACCGAATAAGATTCAGTCCCCACACAATCTCATACAATTTTATTTGTAAAGAAAACAATGAACGAACATGAACCGTTTATTACAACTCAGTACGGGTTTTATTGAAGGGCTTTTTGGGATTTTTCGGGCAGAATGTTGTCTGGGAGAATCAATTCAGGAGGGGTCTCGCGAACTACACCGATAATGGAGTCGTACTCTTCATCACGCTTGGCATATTTCTTGCGGAGCAATTTTTCAAGCTCAATCTCGTCAAACGATTTTGAGTTCTCAGCAGCATGCACTTTGGCTAGGTTGATGTAGTTAGTGGCCGATTGGGAGATGAACTCGATTTCTTCATCTGTAAGCTTCCTGAGGAACTTAGCAGGGTTACCTGCCCACACCTGTAAAAATACCAAACACATGAGTTTACGTAATAAATTATTCTAATTGTCGTCCCACTAAAAAAATAATAATAATAATAATAATTGATAAAAAATAACCTCTCCAGCAGGGACTCGAGTATTCTGTCTCACAAGAGAACCTGCAGCAACCATGGCATGTTTTTCCACAACTACACCATCAAGAAGAATAGCTCCCATCCCAACAAAAGCCTCATCTTCTATTGTGCAACCATGTATAACTGCACCATGGCCTGTTTGTTCAAATTTTTAAAAGTCAATGCCAAGAAAAAGTTTGGGATGAAGTTCAGATATATCGATTAGGTGATTTTCAAGTTAAATATCAAAAGGAAGTCGAGTAAGAGCAACTCGCCGATTGTGACATTATCTCCAATAATTGTTGGCAGAACCTTCCCGCTTATATTAGATTTAGCCACGTGGACCAGGGCATTGTCCTGTATATTAGTCCCAGACCCAACACTGATGCCGTTCACATCACCTGTCCCAAAAAAAA